GCCACTTGGGGGTGAACCAATGGAAAAGGAAGACCTTTCTCTCTCTCTCTCTCTCTCTCTCTCACTGTCTCACTCTGCCTGTCATAAACAAAACAAAACAAAACAAAACAAAACAAAACAAAACAACATAGTGCTAGAAATTATCAATGAAATAGAGAACTGGTTTTCTGGAAAAATAAACAAGATTGATAAACCACTAGCCAGAATAACCAAAAAAGAGAACAGTCTCAGTCCAGTGCTGTAGTGCAGTAGATTAAGCTGCTGCTTGCAGTAACAGCATGCCATTCATGCTCCAATTCTGAGCCAGCATCTTGTAAATGTCTGTGGAAAGCAGTAGAGGATGGCACAAGGCCTGGGGCCCCCATACTGATGTGGGAGATCTGGAACAAGCTCCTGGCTCGTCGCTTTAGCCTGGCCTAGCCCCTGCTGTTGCAGCCATCTGGGGAGTGACCTAACAGATGAAAGGAATCTCTCTCTGTGTTTCCCTTTATCTCTGTAACTTTGCCTTTCAAGTAAATAAATAAGATCTTTTTAAAAACAGTTGAAAAGTTTCAAAATAAAAAAATCAGAGGTGAAAAAAGAGATATTAAAACTGATACTACAGAAAGGAAAAGAGTTATTAGGAACAAGTATGAACAACTTTATGCAACAAATCGGAAAATCTACCCACAATGGATAGTCTTTTGGACATACAATTTGCCAAAGTTCAGATACAAATACACACATGAAAAAATAAACTGACCAATACCAAGACTGAGATGGAATCAGTAACAGAAAGCCTTCTGACAAAGAAAAGCCCAAGACCAGATGCCTTCACTACTGAATTTATCAAACTTTCAAGCAAGATCTAGCACCAGTTCTTAAATTCCTCCACACATATAAAAGGAAAGGAGTCATTCCAAACTCATTGTATGAAGCCAGTATTACCTTAATTCCAAAAGCAGACCAAGATACAAAAAATATAGAGAAATGGATTAATATCTCTGATGAACATAGATGCAAATATCCACAACAAAATAATGGCAATTCCAATCAAACAGCACATCAAAAAGATCATCCCCCAGACCAAGTGGAGTTTATCCTGGGAATTCAGGATATATATTCAACATATACATATAATTGGGACACAGTGCATCAACAAAAGAAAGGGGAAAAATCATGATTATCTCTAAAGATACAGATAAATTTTCTGGTAAAATAGAATATCCTAAATATTCTTTTTAAATGTGTAGATAGAGGGAACCTCCCTGATCACAACAATGGCAATGGGTGGAAAGTCCACAGCCAATATCATACTGAATGGAGGAAAGCTAAAATCATTTCTACTAATATCTGCAACAAGACAGGAATATCCACTCTCATTTATTTTGTTCTATATAGTTCTATAGAATTTATCCAAATCTGTCATGCATGAAAAAGAAATCCAGGGGATACAAACTGGAAAGAAGTAAGTCAATCATCTGCTTTTGCAGATCACATGTTTCTTTATTTAGTGGAACAAAAAGACTCTACCAAGACATGATCCTAATATATAAGAGGATTCAGCAATGTTGCAGGATACAAAATCAACACAGAAAAACCAATAGCATTCATATATTCACCAATAAGAATCCGGCTGAGACAGAACTTATAAGAATATATCTTTTTACCATAACTGCAAGAAATTTTAAGTAGTTTGGAAAAAATTAACCAAGGATATAGAAGATCTCTACAATAAAAAAAAAGCATTAAAAAAGAAAAAAATAAATGCACATCAAAAAAGGGATAAAACTTCCAGAATAATAGATTGGAAGAAGCTTATCAAAGAATCTACTATATCCATGCAGTTGAAAGGTTCAGTGCAACCCCTATTAAAATTTAAGATCATTCTTCACAGAACTAGAAACAACTCTAAAATTCATAAAATAAGAAGGCATTGTGGTATAGCATGTAAACCCTTGTGCAATGCTGGCATCCCAAATCAAAGTGCCCATTCACATTCCAACTGCTTTGCTTCTGATTTAGCTCCCTGCTAACATACATGGGAAAACTAAAGAACATGGGCCCCTGCCAGCCACATGGGAGACCTGAATGCAATTAATGGATTCTGGTCTGGCCTAGCCTTGCCAGGATCATGGAGAACTTTAAGGAGTGAATAGCGGATGGAAAGCCTCTTTTTCTCAGTCTCATCAAATAAACTGAAAAAAAAAATTAGAAAATTACTATGAAAATAAAAAAGACCTTGTATGTTCAAAGCAACCTAAAACAATAACAAAGCCAGAGGTATCACAATACCAGATTTTAAGATATACTACAAGGTTATGATAATCAAAATTTCGTGGTACTGCCCCTCCCCCAAAAGCACATGTAGACGAGTGGAACAGAATGAAATCATCAGAAACAAATCCACAATCTGTCATCAGCTGGTGTTTAACAAACTTGATTCAAAAGCATTCTGTGAAGAAAGGACAGACTATTCAACAAATGGTATTGAGAAAATTAGATTTGTAAATACAAAAGTTTGAAGCAAGATGCTTACATTACTTATGGAATATAGACAACCTCAAAAATAGGTTAAGGCTTTAAAAGTAAGACCTGAAATTATTAAACTACTAGAGAAAAACAGAGGAAAATATGCAATTGGCTTAGCCAATGACTATTTGTGAAATACCCAAAGTGCACAGGAGAGGTAATAAAAGCAAAAACAGATAAATGGAATTTTATCAAGTTAAGAAATTTCTATACATCAAGAAGCAGTTAAAGTGAAGAGAAAACCAACAGAATGGGAGAAAATATTTTCAAACTATCCCTCTGACAAAAATTAATATCTAAATCATAACAGAGATTAATAAACTTAACAACAGACAAGAGTGCTGTTAAGACATATGTAAAGAATATGAATAGATATTTTGCAAAGAAGAAAGAACAATGGCTAACAGACACATGAAAAAATTCAGTTTTATTATCCATCGAGGAAACAAAAACAAAAACCACCATGAGGTATTGTCTTGTTATGGCTAGAATAGCTATTATCAGATTAACAATAATAGTAATAATAACAAACAATGGCAAAATTTTGTAGAAAGGGGTGCCCTAATACACAGAGGGAATGGAATCAAAACACTACTATGGTAAATAGTATGGACATTTCTGAAAAAACTACAAATAGAACCATGAAAAGAGCTGGCTATCATATTTCTAGGAATATATCCAAGGGATTTGAAAACAATATATGAAAATGATATCTACATTCACATGTTTATAGCAGCACAATTCAAAAGAGCAAAAGTCAGAGTCATCATAGATATCCATTAACTCAACTCGATGAACAAAATGTGGTGCATATCAATGATGAAAAATTACTTAGCCTTGAAAATGCTTTAAATCCTGACATTTGGAACAAAATTCATGAAATTGAAGATCATTGTATAGGGCGAAATAAGCCAAAGACAGAAAGACATTTGTCAGAAGCTTTCTATTATATAGGCTGCTTAATATATATAGAGAGAATATGAAACTTGGTGGATATCATATTTTATGGCATATAGATTCACTTCACAGAATCATACCATCTACATGACAATATACCCTTATCTCTTTGCTCTATGACATTGTCATGAATTCTACATTTTATGATATTTTTACCCCTGTTTTCTAGAAAAAGCAGTGTATATGTGCTTGCATATATCTACATATGAAGTGAATATTACAAAATGTTAAATTGTTAAAACTTAAATGAAAAAGTAAATCTAAAAAGCAATTAAAATGTGTTATTTGGGACATGCTCAGGCTGACTTGCCCCAAGTGGTGGAGTTGGAAGCATACCAGGGGATTCCAATTCAATCCCATCGAGGTGGCATGTACCAATGCCATCTCACTGTTCCAGGTGATCAGTTTCAGTTCACAGTTGGTCATGGTGAAGGGACTGGGAGTCAAAGGGAGCACATAGACAAGTCTAGTACCTGCTAACGCTAACTGATGGAGTAAATAAAGGGGAGAGTGATCCAACATGGGAAGTGAGATACTCAGCAGACTCATAGAATGGCAGATGTCCTAAATAGCACTCTGGCCTCAGAATCAGCCCTAAAGGCATTCAGAGCTGGCTGAAAAGCTCATGAGAGTATTTCAGGCATGGAAAGCCAAGACACTCTGGCAAAAGATCTCTGTGAGTGAGATCTCAGTGGAAAGAACAGGTCATCAAAGAAGGAGGTACCTTTCTCTGAAGGGAGGAGAGAACCTCCACTTTGACTATGACCTTGTCTAAACAAGATAAGAGTCGGAGAACTCAGAGGGCTTCCATAGCCTTGGAAACTCATGACTGGAGCATAGGGAGATTACTGATGCCATAAACAGGAGTGTCAATTGGTAAAGTCAACAACAGGAGTCACTGTGCACTTACTCCTCATGTAGGATCTCTATCCTTAATGTGCTGTACATTGAGATTTAATGCTATAACGAGTACTCAAACAATATATTTCACTTTGTGTTTCTATGTGGGTGCAAACTGTTGAAATCCTTACTTAATGCATACTAAACTGATCCTCTGTAAAAAAAAAAAAAAAAAAAAAAAAAATGAAATTATCAATTCCCAACTTGACTCTCACTGGGATTAAACATGACAATAGGTCTGCTCTGATTTCATCATCATTTAAAAAAAATCATCTATTATTTTTCACTTTATGTTTCTGTGTGGGAGCAAACTGTTGAAATCCTTACTTAATGTATACTAAGCTGATCTTCTGTATATTAAGATAATCGAAAATGAATCATGATGTGAATGGAAGGGGAGAGGGAGTGGGAAAGGGGAGGGTTGTGGGTGGGAGGGACGGTATGAGGGGGAAGCCATTGTAATCCATAAGTCGTACTTTGGAAATTTATATGCATTAAATAAAAGTTAAAAAAAAAAGGTGAAAAAAAAAGAAATAATAATCTCTCAACAACTAATTACCAAATCATATAAGTATCATTACCAAAAATCACACTTCATTAATTAACAAGCTTAAACATCAAATTTACAATACCTTTTAAATGTAGAATACATATTCTCTCTTCATAGTGCCATCTGCAATCTTGTTTGGATGGCAAGACCTACTTCCCCTTCATTTTGATACACATAAGAAGCATCGGTATGGCGGAAACCAACATCTATAGCTATTTTGGAAGCCTCCCCAGCCTCACTCTCAGAAACCTAGAGAAATAGCCAAAAGTATTGTTGGGAGATCCATGCAATTAGAATTAGTTCACGCATCATCAGTGACTTTCACAGAAATTATTTTTTCCCATGTCTTAATATAAGACAGCATTTTGGGAAATGTACATATGTCAATTTGTCAGGGTTTCCCCTAATTATTAGCAAGATATAGGCAGGTCAGGAACCTCCCCGTACCAGGCTACCTTATTGATCACTGGCATCAATGTTTCTCACAAACTATGCCAGCTTTATTGATTTGATGAAAGGATGCAAAGGCTGCAGCAAAAAGCTAATATCATAGTTATTATTTATATAGTGAATTCACAAACAAAAGTTACAGCAGGAGAAATGAAATGAAATAAAATATGGAAAAAAATGATGCAAGTTTCCATGTATCCTCTTCCAGTGAAATAAACATAGCTCATTCAATTCTGTGAGGAATGATTTGGACAACCTGAAAACTTATCTGCAATGAAAGATGCTTTTTAGAGTCATAATCCCTAAAATTCTTCACTGAGGTTGAGTTGCATAGATCCCCTGTTTTAGCCCACACACATACTCCTGCCTCTCAACAAGAGCAAGGATACATACACTCCACTGTCTGCACAGTCAGTGTAACTAAAAGCCACCAACTGAATAAGTTAGAGAATGGGGAACAATGTGGGTTCCCTCATGCTAATCAAGGGCAAGATCAAAGACGGGCAGTTAGTTGAATGGGCAGTAGAATATTACGTTAATTCTTTTCCACAGAGCCATTCTGTGTTCTACCCCCAACATATACACCCACACAAAATAACTGTTAGCAATAAAAATGTTTATTCAAGTGGCTGTGTGATGGAGCAGGTAAGGCTTGCACCTACCCTGCCAGCATCCCATATAGGCACTGGTATGAGTCCTGGCTGCTCCACTTCTGAACCATTTCCATGCTAATGTGCTGAATAAAGCCACAGAATGCTGAGCTGTGTGGGAGATCAAGATGATCTTCCTGGCTTCGACTTGGACCAGTTCTGTGTTGCAGGCATTTGGGGAATGAATATCCATTTTGCTTTCTGTCTCTGCCACCTTTTCTGCAACTCTGCCTTTCAGATAAATAAATAAATCTTTAAAAGTGTGTACTCAAGGGATAGATATTTTCACATGCTAAATTAGCTGTAAGGGGTTATTAATTTCATTGTCAATCCATAAAAACAGGTCATTTCTTTTAGATAAAATATAAACAGAGCAAAATAAAAATTACTAGCTTTACAAAATTGGACAAAATTTGTAATTATTTGTTAAAAGACAAATTTTATACTGGTTGGGAATCTATGAACCATGCACACCCACAACACCAGCAAGGCCTTCTCCCAGTACCTGAGAAGTTCATACAGTAGTCCTTCTCTGAAGAGATAGAGCCCTGCATGCTAGGAATCTCAGTAACAACACTGAGCCACATGAAGAGCCCAGGTCCCTATTATACCTACCATCTGTTTAGTGAATAAAGGCATGGGAAAACTGTACTAGAAAATCTAACTGGAACTAAAGATAAACCACTCCACCAAATCAACACACAGAGGCATCTCTCTAGTAATAAAGTCTTCAATCAAGAAAAGTTATTCTCTGGAAGTGACAGAATCTAGTGATTCCCCAGGAACACAAAATACAATGTAGAAATACAAGTAATATTAACAAAGAAAAGCAATATGATTTCTCAAAAGAAGCACAATAGCACATGAATATTATATTGTGAATAAAGGAGATTTATGAGGTTGGTAAACAGCCTGAAAAAGAATTCAAAAGAATAAATTTAAGGTTACACAAGATGTTGAATGAAATTAAGAAATCAGTAATGACATGAATGAGAAACTCAGCAAAGAAAACTGAGATACTGGGGGAATGAAAACAGGAAATGAAATTGGCAAACAAACAAGCTGTCTGCACCTTAATGTTTATTGCAGCTCAATTCACAATAGCTAAGACCTGGAACCAACCCAAATGCCTATCAACAGTAGACTGGATACAGAAATCAAGGGATATGTACCCTATAGAATACTATATAGCAGTCAAAAAAAATGAAACCCGGTCATTTGCAACAAGATGGAGGAATTTGGAAAACATCATGCTGAGTGAACTAAGCCAGTCCCAAAGGGGACAAATATCATATGTTCTCCCTGATCGGCGACAACTAACTGAGCACCAAAGGGGAAACTCACTGAGCACCAAAGGGGAAACCTGTTGAAGTGAAATGGACACTATGAGAAACAGTGACTTGATCAGCTCTTGTCCTGACTGTTGATGTACAATGTAATACTCTATCGATTTTCATATTTTTTGTTCTAGTACTATTGGTTGAACTCTGTAATTAACACACTATTATTCTTAGGTGTTTAAATTTTAACTGGAAAGTGATCCCTGTTAGGAATTTGGAAAACATTATGTTGGGTGAAATAAGCCAGTCCCAAAGGGACAAATATCGTATGCTCTCCCTGATTGGTGACAACTAACCGAGCACCAAAAAGGAAACCTGTTGAAGTGAAATGAACACTGTGAGAAACGGTGACTTGATCAGCCCTTGCCATGACTGTTGATGAACAACTTAATACCTTATCCCTCTTAGTATTTTTTTTTGTTTGTTCTATTTAATACTTTTGGTTGAATACTGTAATCAAGACACAGTTATTCTTAAGTGTTGAAACTTAACTGAAAAGTGATACCAGCTAAATGTAAGAGTGGGAATAAGAGAGGGAAGAGATGTGCAATTCGGGACATGCTCAAGCTGACTTACCTCAAATGGTAGAGTTAGAAACATACCAGGGGATTCCAATTCAATCATGTACCAATGCCATCTCACTAGTCCAAGTGATCAATTTCTGTTCACAATTGATCATAATGATAGGACTAAGAGCCAAAGGGATCACATAAACAAGAATAGTGTCTACAAATACTGACTGATAGAATAAAAAAGGGAGAGAACGATCCAACATGGGAAGTGAGATACACAGCAGACCCATAGAATGGCAGATGTCCTAAACAGCACTCTGGCCTCAGAATCAGCCCTTAAGGCATGCGGATCCGGCTGAAAAGCCCATGAGAGTATTTCAGGCATGGAAAGCCAAGACACTCTGGATGCAATAAGTCAAAACCTAGTGAGTTTCCTAAATGAAAGATCCGCAAGTGAGATCCCAATGGAAAGAACAGGTCATCAAAGAAGGAGGTACCTTTCTCTGAAGGGAGGAGAGAACTTCCACTCTGACTATGACCTTGTCTAAATATGATCAGATTCAGTGAACTCAAAAGGCTTCCATAGCCTTGGCAACTCATGACAAGAGCCTAGGGTGATTACTGACGCCATAAACAAGAGTGTCAAATTGTTAAGTCAACAACAGGAGTCACTGTGTACTTACTCCTCATGTAGGATCTCTGTCCTTAATGTGCTGTACATTGTGACTTAATGCTATAAATAGTACTCAAACAGGATACACTTTCTTGTCCAGGAGGAAACTTGTAAAGGCAGAAAAGCAAGCCACTCAAAAACATGAGGAAGGCAGAGAGAGCTGCCACTAGAATGGCACTCCCTGCTTCCTGGGTATCCGGCTTGAATGGCAGATGGAAAGATGATGGGAATGCAGTGCCTTGTACACTCACAATGGAGTATTAATTCCAGAATGCTGTGGTTAAGACACAGACACTAGTAATTATGTACAGGACTCCAGAAGCCACAAATGGGTTAAAAAGGGGGATTCTATAGTATGGGAATAACACCATTTGCCAAGTCATTTTTAGTTTATGGACATCTGGACTGCTTTCATGTTTTGTCTGTTATGAATAATGCTACTATGAAAATTCACAATTATGCACACACACACAAACACACACACACACACATATATATATACATATGTGTATGAGTCTGCATTGACATATTTTCACATTTCTCTTGCATAAATGCCTAGGAATAGAATTGCTGGGATGTATACTAAATGTATATTTGATTTTTAGCAACTGCTAACCCATTTCCACAAGTCATCAAACTATTTTACAGATAGGATAGGATAGGTTCCATTTTCTCCACATCATCTCCAACTTTTGGTATTTGTAGTCTTTCATATTGGAGCCATTCTAGTTACCATCTCATGTGACCAAAAGGAAGAATGTTCACAATACATCAAGTACAAACAACTTGTTATAAAATAGTGTGTGGATATAATCATGGATAAGAATTGAACTGGAAGGCTATCTGCTAATTATTAAAAGAAAAAAAATTTTATTTAAAAGGCAGAGTGATCTCTTTCTCTACTAGCTATCTACCCAAATGCGTGCAACAGCCAGAACTGTGCTAGGCTGAAGCAGGGAACTGTGCATTTTGTCTGGAGATGCAGGACCCCAAGTATTTGAGTTATCACAGTTTCCTCCTAGGGTTCACATTAGCAGGAACTTAGAGTCAAGAGTGGATCCAGGACCTGAACCCAGGCACTCTGCTATGGAATGCAGGCATCCCAAGTGGCGGCTTGACTGCTGCTCCAAATGCTTGTCCCAAGAGAAATTTTTAACTGCGTCTGAGGGATTATGACGTTTTTTTGGTCAGGCAGAGTTAGACAGTGTGAGAGAGAGACAGAGAGAAAGGTCCTCCTTCCATTGGTTCACCCTCCAAATGGCCACTATGGCTGGCTCGCTACAGCCGGCACTGCACCTATCTGAATCCAGGAGCCAGGCACTTCCTCCTGGTCTCCCATGCGGTGCAGGGCCCAAACACTTGGGCCATCCTCCACTGTCTTCCCGGGCCACAGCAGAGAGCTGGACTGGAAGAGGAGCAACCGGGACAGAATCTGGCATCCCAACCAGGACTAGAACCCGGGGTGCCAGCGCTGCAGGCAGAGGATTAGCCTAGTGAGCTGCAGCACCGGCCATGGGATTATGACTTTTTAAAAGCTATTTATATTGTGAAGAATCACACATATATAGAAAAATATGTAGATCTAAGTGTACAGCTCAATGAATTATCACAGGGTACACACCCATGTCACTACCACTGAGTTTGCAACAGCTATCACCACTTCGTGGCCTTTACAGTTTTGTCACTTCAATATGCATCCCCAAACACCCTTCCTCAGACAATGGAATTCAAGTTTGTTCAGTTTTCAAAACAGGCTCCTTAAAATAGTCAATCCCTTGTGACTGGCTTCTTTCACTCAATACTGTGTTTATTTCTGACATTCATGTGATGATGTTTTTAATGATGCCTGGCTGCTCAGTAGTTTTTGATATTCTGTCATAAGCATGGTCTTTTAAAATAAGAAATAACAAAAAGACTTCATTAAAAAGTTGTCAGACTGTGGAGGATTAACTAATGCTGGAATCTAAATAAGAGGGTACTTTAGAAAGTTTATGTGAAAATGGAATTAAAAGTATGAGTTTCTTTTTGTCCAAAAGTTTTTGCTGCAAAAAACAAAACAGAACAAAACAAAACAAAAAGAATGGCCATTTGACGTAGCAGGTTAACCCACTGCCTGCAGCACCAGCATCCTGTATGGTTGCTCCACTCCAATCCAGCTCCCGGCTAATGTTCCTAGGAAAGCAGCTTCAGGCCCCTGCACATATGTGGGAGACCTGAAAGAAGCTCCTGGCTCCTGACTTCAGCTCAGCTCAGCTCCAGTGATGTGGCCATTTGGGGAGTGAACTAGCAGATGGAAGATCCTTCCCCGACCCCTGTAACTCTGCCTTTCTAATAAGTAACATAAATATTGAAAAACTTTTAAAATGAATTTCTTGACACATGGAAAATGTGTATCAAGGAAAAAAATGTATGGGGTTCAAACTCATTTTAGCACCTAATTAAACTCCTACTTTAATTCCATTTTCTATGAAATTTTTGAAGTACATAATTTAATACCTACTAAGTATGAAGGAACTTCAAGTTTATGGAAAACAGATTTAAAAGATAAGCTTAGGGGTGCACATTTAGCATAGTGCTTAAAATGCCAGTTTGTAGGCTTGTTTCCTATACTGGAGTACCTGGATTCAATACCTGTCTCCAGCTCCTTACTCTAAATTACTCTTCATTCAGACCCTGGAAGGCAGAGGTTTTGGCTCAAAGACTTGGATCCCAGCTAGATACATGCGAGACCTTGCTTGACTTCCCAGTTTCTGGCTTCAGCCCAGCCCAGCCCTGGCTGTCGAGGGCACTTGAGGCATGAACTAGGGGACAGGAGCACTCTTTTTCTGTGTCCATCCTTCTCTCTGTCTCTCAAATGAATACATCATTTTTATTAATTAAAGATAACACTTTATTTTGTTGCAAAAAATGTGAAATTGCTGTACAGTTTTGTCATGATACACATTTTCTATGAACTCTTCGAAGACCCTTCATACATAAAATTTAGATTTCTTTTATACCAAAGCAAACCTTTAAGTCTATTTTCCAGGAAATTTTTGAAGTACCCTCATATTTTCAGGTGCTCAATGGGGTTATGCCCAACAATCATAAATTCAAAATATTTTGAGTTGGGCTGGTGGTTGGCCCAGCAGTTAGGACCCACATCCCATATCAGAGTGCCTGTGTTCAATCTTGACTTCACTTCTGATTCCATCTTCCTGCTAGAGCACACCCCAGGGGGGCAGCACATGATGGCTCAAGAACTTCGCTCCCTGCTACCCATGTGGAAAACCCAAATTGAGTTTCTGGCTGCCAGCTTTGGCTTGGCCCAGACCAGCCTGTTGCAGGAATATGGGGAGTATTCAAACAGATAGGAGATCTGTCTCCCCGCTTCTTAAATAAGAACTATTGTGAAAAGAAGACACAAGAGGAAAAGAGAGAGAACAGGAAAAGAAAACATCATGAGTCAACAATGCATTTAATACACTCCCCTCCCAAGCACCCTAGCTGAGCAACACAACACACTGCAAAGTGGTGCTTGTGTCCCTTGTGACTGTGCAGCTGTTGGACCTGTGCTCACTGTCACTGCCCAGTATCATAAAAGAGGATGGAACTGCAAAATACAAACCCAGGAGAATATCCAAATGCAAAATTCAAAGAACCATTTCTACTGAACCCATATTGTCTGATTGTAAAGTCTTAAGTTTTAAGTCCCACCATCCTAAGTCAAACCATTGTGAAAAGCCAAAGTGACTCCATTTTGAAACAATAAAAAGCAGCCTCCGTTTCCCATAGCAGACCTGAGTCCTTGTAAAAGCAGGCATTCAGGCATTCCAGAGATATCAAAGCTTACCAAGGACAGCTAGCTCAGCAGACCAAGGGCAGCTCTGTAGAGATTACCAAAAGAGGTAACTCCTTAAACCCAAGCCAAACGGAGACCCCCACCCCCCGCCCTGCCCATGCTGACATATTTTCCCTTTAAAAGCGTCCCCGAACAAAGACCTGGGCCTTTCCTCCTTCCTCCACTGCACCGGTTGGTTGGATGAGGTCCCTGTTGCAGCTTGTACCTTTTTAATAAAACCTTGCTTTTGCATTTTGGTGTGATCGGGTTGCTGATAGCTTCTTAGGCATCTACTTATCTGGGCATAACACATTGTATGTCCAGGACTATCTATATGTATTATGGAATATTATTTATATTCACAGCATTAGAAATGAAGGAAACTCTGACACAGAGTGTAACAGGAATGACCATTGAGCTCACTATGCTAAGTGAAATAAGCCACATACAAGAGGATAATACTGTATGATTGTACTTACATGAAGTACCCAGGGTAGTCACATTCATAAAGACTGAATGTAGTGACTGCTAGAGCCTAGGGGGCAGGAGAACAGGGGAGGTGGCATTTCATGCAGATAGGTTTCAGTTGGGGTTTATGAAAATGTTCCCAAGTTGCATATTGGTAAGACCTGCCCAACAATATGCTACTTACCTAATTAACTGTGGTGGAATGAGCAGACCTTGCCAATATGGCACTGGTGAGCGAGTGTCAGTTACTCAGGAAATGGCTTCGGAACCCACCTGGCAAAGGAGCCTGCCTAGCAACAGGCAGTGATTGGTTATGGCATAAACCATCCCTTGACCAGATTGGCTGCCTTGGCTAGATAAGCTGCTACACCAACTGCAAGAGTCTGCAAGCTGCTCACCTCTAGCCGGCTTTCACCTGACTCCTGGTGTCAGTGTCGTGACTCCAGGCCTCTTGCCCCCACTGTGCTTCTCCTTTCAAAATGAATTTACAGTAACAGCTTTAACATGGTCGGTTTTGTCATGCATATTTTACCACCATATGAGGAAAAAGAGGGAGGGAGTATCCACTAACCAGCTGTGTGGTCTCCAAGTGAACCAGAAGCAATGTGAGAGAAGGCTGGCAGCTCACAGGGCCAGCATGGCTGAGGATGACACAGTACCTCCGTGACATCTCCCCTGGCTCTCCATCGCGGGCTTCCGGATTGAGGCAGCTGTAGGTGGCCCAGTGTTCAGTCATTGAGTCTCTTGACACTCCTTGTCAAGTAACCACCTTCTAAATTCTCAGTTGCTAGGCTGTGAATGCCATGACAGCAGCCATTATGTCATGGGCCATGACCACGTCTTGGCTTTCTTCCCCTCCTTCCTTGTCCTCTGTTCTGGCAGCCTGTAGAGGTCAGTTGGGGTCTGTTTACACATGGACGGTGAGTCCACTGTTATCTTCTAAGTAGGAATGCAGCTTGACATGACCCAGCCATTTTCATTATAAACATCCTGTCCAGTAGGTCTCCCTGGCACTCATCCCATTTAGTTTTTTTTTTTTTCTTGTGAAGATTTATTTGAACAGTAGAGTTACAGAAAGGGAGAGATAGATGTCTTCCACCCACTGGTTCACTCTCCAAATGGCCACAATAGCTGGAGCTGGGCCAATCCAGACAGAAGCCAGGAGCTTCTTCTGGGTCTCCCATGTGAGTGCAGGAGCCCAAATACCTGGGGCATCTTCTGGTGCTTTCCAGGTACATCAGTAAGGAGCTAGATCACAGGTGGAGCAGTCTGGACTCAAACTGGTGTCAGTATGGGATGCTGGCCCTTCAGGTGGTGGCTTTACCTGTATGCCACAGCACCAGCCCCAAGGATTTAGTTCTTCTTTAAATGTTTTGTAGAATGCATATGTGAATCCATCAGATCCTAGACTTTCTTGTTGGGAGACTTTCAGTATCTGTTTATTTATTTGAAAGGCATAAATACAGAAAGACAGAGGCAGAGAGAGAGAGAGAGAGAGTCTTCCATCTGCTGGTTCACTCCACAAATGGAGGCAATGGTCGGCGCTAGGCCAATCAAAAGCCGGAAGCCTGGTGCTTCTTTCAGGTTCCCCACGTGGGTCCAGGGACCCAAGGACTTGGGCCATCTTCCACTGCCTTCCCAGGCCATAGCAGAGAGCTGTATCAGATATGGAGCAGCTGAGACTTGAACCAGCACCCACATGGGATGCTGGCACCACAGGATGTCTTTTCTGGCTACGCCACAGCGCTGGCCCTGACTTTCAATTATTGTTTAAATCTTCATTACTTGTTATTGGTGTGTTTAGATTTTCTACATCCTGTCTTAATTAATTTTGGGAAGCTGAATCTTGGGAAGTGTTGAGGATTTATCTGTTTCCTTAAGGTTGTCAAATTTGTTTGCATATAATCATTCATGGTAGTTTTTTTTTTTTTTTGACAGGCAGAGTGGACAGTGAGAGAGAGAAAGACAGAGAGAAAGGTCTTCCTTTGCCGTTGGTTCACCCCCCAATGGCTGCTGCGGCTGGTAGCGCTACGGCTGGTGCACCACACTGATCCGAAGGCAGGAGCCAGGTGCTTCTCCTGGTCTCCCATGGGGTGCAGGGCCCAAGGACTTGGGCCATCCTCCACTGCACTCCCGGGCCATAGCAGAGAGCTGGACTGGAAGAGGAGCAGCCTGGACAGAATCCGGCGCCCCAACAGGGGCTAGAACCTGGTGTGCCAGCGCCGCAGGCAGAGAATTAGCCTATTGGGCTACAGTGGCGCCGGCCCCATAGCAGCTTCTTATGATGGTTTATTTTTCTGTCGTATCAGTTGCAATTGTCTCATTTTCATTTCTAATTTTATTTGTCCTTCCTTTGTTAATCTAATAGTTTGTCTACTTTGTTTTTCAGTAAATAAGCTTTTTTTTGGGTGGCCAAGACATTGTTTGGGACACCCACATCCTATATCAGCATGCCTTAATTCAAGTCTTAGCTCCAGTCCAGATCAGCTTCCTGCTTATGTACACCCTGAGAAATACCAGATGATGGCTCATGTGCTTGGATCCCTGTCACATACGTGGGAGACCTGGAATGAGTTTTGGGCTCCTGGCTTTGGCGTGACATAGTCCTGACTGTTGCAGACATTTAAAGCATGAATTCACAGGTGGCAGATCTTTTTGTCTGTTTCTTTCTCTGCTCTTCAAATATATTGAAAAACAAAAAATGATAAATCAGGTTTTCATTGTGTTGGTCGTTTGCATTAAAAATTTTTTTGTTTACCAGTATTTGAAATGCACATCTGACTTTTACCATGCTACACCATAGAGCATTTTTATGTTTGTCCACAAGATGGCAGCACAAACACATCACATCAAGTAGCAGCAAAAACAGTGTATTTGGTCTGAAATTGAATGCTGATGTTAATTGCTTGTTTATTGCGACATGTTATTTACAAAAGAATTACTAATTGGATTGTTTATGTTTCTTGCAAAATGCCTATACATGCATTGCAAAATTGGTATAAAGGAGAAAAAATGCAAGTTACCTGTTGTAGTACTGCTCAGATACAGCCAGGGTTGAGTCTGATATTGACCTTCATGTTGGCAGGAATGTGATAGAAAGAGGAGACTACACATTTTTCAGACAAAATATGTTACCACCACCACCCAAGCAGCACAGTTGTTTTCTAATTCAGCCTTTTTTTTTTTTTTTTTTCAACCATGTTAAAGCTGTGACAGGCAGAGTGGACAGTGAGAGAGAGAGACAGAGAGAAAGGTCTTCCTTTGCCATTGGTTCACCCTCCAGTGGCCACAGTGGCCAGCGTGCTGCAGGTACTTCTCCTGGGCCATCCTCCACTGCACTCCCGGGCCACAGCAGAGAGCTGGACTGGAAGAGGGGCAACCGGGACAGAATCCGGCGCCCCGACCGGGACTAGAACCCGGTGTGCCGGCGCCGCAAGGCGGAGGATTAGCCTGGTGAGCTGCGGCACCGGCTAATTCATCCTTTTACATCCAGTGTTTCTTGAGCCTTTTCCCCTGTGTGACTGAATTATTTGACTTGGCGACTTTGAAGAATGCATGATATTCCATCCTGTGAATGAGTTAAATTAGGCATGTTAATTGTCTTTAAATGGTAGAGGATTTCCCATATACAAAATATATGAAGAAAAATATTGTAGTCACCCAAATAATGTAATCAAATTTTTAAAATTTTAAAATATATTTCTGAAGCAGAGAGAGTCAGAGAGAAAAAGGGAGAGTTCCGATTAGCTGGTTTGCTTCCTAAATGCCTGCAAAGCTTGCTCTGAGTTGAGGCTAGAACCAGGAGCTGGAAACTCAATCCAGGTCCTCCATGTGAGTGTCAGGAAGCCAATTACTTGAGTCCATCGCTGCTCCCTTGAAGGATCGTCCTCAGCAGGAAGCTGGAAGCAGGTATCAAACCCAAGTACATTATTTTATTTTAATTATTTATTTGAAAATCAGAGCCACACAGAGAGAGAAGGGGAGGCAGAGAGAGAGAGCAGTCCTCCATCTGCTAGTTTACTGCCCCCCCCCCCCAACTGGCCACAATGGCAAGAGATGCTCCAATCCAAAGCCAGGAGCCAGGAGCCAGGAGCCTCCTCCGTGTCTCTCACACGGGTTCAGGGGCCCAAGGACTTGGGCCATCTTCCACTGCCCTCCCAGGACATAGCAGAGAGCTGGACCAGCAGCGGAGCACGAACCGGCTCTGTGGTGTAGCCAGTGAAGCCACTGACTGCAGTGCTGACATCCCATATGGGCACTGGTTTGAGTCCCAGCTGCTCCACGTCCGATCAAGCTCTCTTCTATAGCCTGGGAAAGCAGTAGAAGATGGCCCAAGTCCTTGGGCCCCTGCACTGTGTGGGAGACCTGGAAGAAGCTCCTGGCTACTGGCATTGAATCAGCACAGCTCTGGCCATTGCAGCCAACTGGGGAGTGAACCAGCAGATGGAAGACCTCTCTCTCTCTCTCTCTCTCTCTGCCTTGCCTTCTCTCTCTGTGTAACTCTGACTTTCATGTAAATAATAAAATAAACCTTATAAAAAAAGAAGTGGAGCAGCCAGGCCTTGAACCCACTATGCCACAGCGCCCGCCCCCAAACCCATGTACTTTAAGATGAGAGACAGACATCTTAACCCGTGCCTTTCTCTGTAGGCTAAACATCCACCCCACTATCCACATTTAATCCACATGTTCACTTTTTTGCCATCTTTGCTTTAAATATTTTTAGCAACTATAATTTATAGATAGAATTGAAGAGTCCCTCTATGTAATTAATTCCTGTCTTTACATCTGTATATTGTCACTCTACATCATAAAGCATTTTTCCATTTGTCCAGAAGGTGGCAACATAGGCACTTCAAATAAAGTAGCATGCAATTTCTGCATATTTGTTCTGAAATTGAACACTGATGTTAATTGATCAGTTCATTTTGACAAGTTTCAAATAAATAATTTGACAGCGCTGCAGATCAATAGGCTAATCCCCCTCCTAGCAGTGCTGGCACACCGGGTTCTAGTCCCGGTCAGGGCGCCGGATTCTGTCCCGGTTGCCCCTCTTCCTGGCCAGCTCTCTGCTGTGGCCCGGGAGTGCAGTGGAGGATGGCCCAAGTCCTTGGGCCCTGCACCCCATGGGAGACCAGGATAAGTACCTGGCTCCTGCCATGGATCAGCGCGGTGCGCCAGCCACAGCGCACTGGCTGCGGTGGCCATTGGAGTGTGAACCAATGGCAAAGGAAGACCTTTCTCTCTTTCTCTCTCTCTCTCTCTCTCTCACTGTCCATTCTGTCTGTAAAAAAAAAAAAAAAAGTTATTTGCACAAAAATATTTATTAGGTTGTTTTTCTGATAAAATAACTATACAATCATTGTAAAATTGGTACAGAGAAGAAAAAAAAATACAAGTTAACTTAGGAAACACTTCTTGAATATAGCCAGAGTTAACAATCTGAAATTTATCTTCATGGTTATAGACACATGATAGAAAGAAGAGATTACATAAAACTTATCTCACCCATACAATTGTGTCTTTTTTTTTAAGATTTATTTATCTGTTTGAAAGGCGGAATTACAGAGAGGAAGAGGCAGAGAGAGAGGGAGGGAGAGAGAGAGGGGGAGGGAGAGATCTTCTATCCCCTGTTTCATTCCCCAAATGGCCGCAACAGCTGGAGCTGGGCTGATCTGAAGCCAGTAGCCAGGACCTTCTTCCAGGTCTCCCATGCAGGTACAGGGGTCCAAGCACTTGGGCCATCTTCCACTGCTT